AATGTATGTTTGAAAATATATACATATGTATCTATATTTATAATAATTTATTTATATCTATATACATATATGTTTACATGTTCTTTTAAGCTGTTTTGGTAAAAATTAAATTAAACGGTCTATTTAATTTTTTTATGTATATTTCATGTGTCTTCAATTCTTATTTCTAGATTTCAACACCAAAGGATTTTAGAGTTATAATGTCCGCAAAGTTGAGAAATATAATTCACACTCAAGACCAAGTCATGTATGAATTCTTTCAAAGGAGTCTAACACCAGCTTACGGGGTAGTTATTGCTGTGGGATCACTAGAGGCGGCGAGAAATGGTCCAAGAATCAATGTGTATGCTGAATCCAAATTTATCGATGAAAGCCGCACGACGTTTGATGAGAATTTTGAAAGAATGTTGGAGATTGCCGATGAGTTGTATGGATTGTCTTTGGGTAAAACATCAACTAAATTACATATACTTATCAACTTAATAAAACACTCACACACAATAAGTTTTATTTTTGTAAATTAGAAATTTTCTTTTTTATTTATTACTTATTATTTATTATTTATTTATTTATTTTTATTATTCATTATTTATTTATTATTGTTTTGTTATTACATTAAAATCTCTAGATAAACAAAATATATGCGTGCTTCCACCAACTATCTCACCCAAGTATTTCACAATACAATGTCGAAACATGATATTTGTATCGCCATCCTTACTTCGCGGAGATATCTCTTTGATCAGTTCACTTGCTCAGCAAATCGCACACTTATGGACCGAGCATTTTGTTGTAAATTATGATCATATGTGGTTGAGTAAGAGTATCGGTATGTTTATTTACAAAAAGTTTATAAACCGCATGCCGATTAATGAGAAAATAAAGGAGTTTTTACTAATGAAAATGGACCGCAAATTGGTAAAAAGGGTAAAGTATTAACTTTTATTACAGATAAAACAAATAAAGTAATAAATAATGTCGAATATAATGCCAGATAACAATATTTTGTAACACGCACACACGCACGCACACACACACACACACACACACGTTTCGGTATTTCTACTATATGTATATATATTATTATCGAAAATGTATTATAGATTGAAGGATACAAGGATATCGATATATTACAAAATTTAATACCCAGATTGGGAAATATTTCACCTAATTATCTCATGGAACGTGTGCCTTATGAAGTGGGATGTATGCTCTTGGAAAAGTTACAGCATGAATTAGGAGGACCATTGATATTCGACAGATATCTTAAATTATATTTGTATACTTTTCTACACAGAAGTATAAACACGCAAGATTGGATAAGACACTTGACTGAGTACTGTACTACTTTTTGTCCGACAAACGAGGTGACGCATTTTTTTTTTTTTCAAATAAATTATGGTTTTATCAGTATTTATATTTTTAGCATTAAAAATAATAAATTTTGTGTTGTTTTAGATGGTAACTTCTTTTGATTGGAGCATATACTTTTTTTACACAGAACCACTTATTCCAAACATTTCAATAACCGCGTTGGAAACAGCATGTTTCAATTTAGCGGAAGAATGGACAAGATGTGATGATAATGCCAAAAATATACCTCGTAAATTTATAGAAGTAACATCTTATTCTGATATTGAGAAAATAGAATTATTAAAATACCTATATGATTCGTCTGTCGGCCTGACCGTGATCAAGATAAATTTAATGTCAAATTTTTATGAGTCCCATGAGTCCCACACTTATGAAATACGGTAAATATGAATATTCGCGTTTAGACTGATTCACATTTGCGTAATGTAACACCTCTATTTCTCAGGTTCCGTTGGATACGTTTGTGTATCAAAAATCGATGGGAACCTATAATTGATACTGCCTTGAATTTCGCCATTCACTTTTGTACGCCAAAGTATGCGTGTTCTATATTTGAAGATTTATACAACTGGAAAGAAATACGTCTAATAACGATCGAAGCATATAGACGCAACGAGAAAAAGTTCGTTCATGAAACACAGGAAAAAATAAATTCAATTCTGCTAAATTGACATACATTAAGAACCAAATCATATTTCCTTTTTATAAAGTAAGTCAATATATTAACTGACATACAAAGTAATTTATTTATCGTAGAGAAAAAGAGTATAACAAATGTTGTACAATTTATCGAAAGAATGTAAAAATTGATTTCTATATCATACATATTTGGATAACTTAACTAAAATTTAAAAAGTTGTTTATTTTGTCTGTGAATTACAGGTCTAAGATTGAAAACGAGTTGATGCGCAACAGGATATAATGACAATTCTTATTGTCTAAAAATATTTAAATTTGTAAAAAAAAATTAATTATATAGAATATAAATAATTTGTTAATAATCGATAAATAAATCTATCTTTGCATGAACATTTCGTTAAATTTTTTTTCGTAATAAAATGAAGTACAGGTTGCTTCATCTAAAACATTAGTCATCAGTCCATGTGACCGCACCCTTAGATTGCAATAGTTCAAGATTTATGCGGTTCGATTTCGGGGATCTCACGATTCCATTATCGAAATTATTTGTTAATTATGGATCTAGAAAGCGAACTGCCCGCAGTACAACATATTGACAACAGATTTGCTCGGCTATCGCAAAACAAATCCGGCATCTCCGTCCGAATTTATTCGCTTTTTACCAGCGCACGGTCTGCCAATATAATTTGATAACAGATTGTCGGCAGAAACCGAACAAAATCTGTCATTTTGTAAACATTTAAATTGTTACGAATCGGATTTTGCTGACAAATTTCTGCAGAGAGCCAATCCGTCATTATATTCCGTTAGCAGATTTTTTTATATGCTTGTAGGTATTCTATCGACGAAATTTGCAGCAGTCACTTTCAAAATCTGGTCTCGACAGATTTTCCGGGGAGTAAACCTTAAACCCGCCAATTTCGATCCAAGATCTCATTTGTATACGCGCGCCATTACATGGCGGTGATAATGCGGGGTCTACAATGCGAATCGCAAGAAATTGACCAATCACAGCGATTATTCTCCTCAAATTCGACTGTGATTGGTCAATTTCCCACGACTCGCATTGTAGACCCAGCATAATGGGCGCGTTCAGCAGACACAACTGTTGAGTTCGTCTTATCAACACTCTGCGTTGATTGATTGGTTCTAAAAGTAAGAGCCAATCACGTTCGACCGCTACTCAGCGGGTTGGCTGAACGCGACCAATCATGGCTGCGTCTTTCTCTCTGGAAGACACAAGACACAGTTGCGTCTCCTATCCTAATTAAGTGTGATTGGGCGGATCCAAAGGTAAGAACCAATCACATTTTAGTGCTATTAGCCGTTCAGTGAGCGGTTCCCCTACTTGACTGCACCATCATGGCGCTGACGTGAGCGGCGGAAGGGAGGGAACTACTTCGCTGGAGCGGGCGACGGTCGTTGCGCGGCCCAAGAGCGTGGCTATATAAACGCGCGCAAGGAACAGCGCGCCGTCATTTTTTGGCCCCAGTAAAGGTAGAGTTGTGTTCGCGTTGTGCGTTTGTTGTGTGCGTTTACTTTTTCCCGGAGATAGGCCACATAACCTATGTCCAATTCGTGAAACTAAATAACTCTCCCAGAAAAATCCAAAAAAACGAAAAAAATCGTGAAAAAACTCATCGTAAGAAAAAAATCGCAAAACCGCAGGCGAAAATCATCGCGTGACCCTGGGAGGGATAACCCAGCAGCGTGGTGATATAGAAGGGAAGAAAGGGAAAGAAACACCGTGAGAGAGCAAAACCCAGAGTGTGAGGCGTCGAGAAACGGACGGGAAATCCATCGTTACCCAGTCACGCAACCAAAAAAAAAGGAGAAGAGGAACGCACGAGGTGAACGCGGCAGAGAGAGGCGCTTGTAAAGAAAACGTGCGCGCGAGAGACGGCGTGCCGAGCGACTTTGTCGCGAAGTAGAGAGAGACGAGGCGAAGCGTAATCGCGTCCGCGCGACGAGGACGAACGTCGTTCCGTTTCCCTATTCCCAGAAGCCAGATACCCCACGGCCGCCGCCATGAATCCTGGAGCGCCCAACTACCCCATGGCCTCGCTCTACGTGGGCAACCTGCACACCGACATCACCGAGGCGATGCTGTTCGAGAAGTTCTCGACGGCCGGGCCCGTGCTGTCGATACGCGTATGCCGCGACATGATTACCCGCCGCTCGCTCGGCTACGCATATGTCAACTTCCAGCAGCCGGCCGATGGTAATTTTTCATAATTTCATCATTATTATTATTATCGGTTATTATTATTATTGTTATTTTTATCGTTGCCCCGTTCCCATCGATGGCCACGACGACGATATGGCTGGCGGATCAGCGTGGTCGACGCTCGATGTGACGCGTCGGTCGACCGCGCGAATCGCCACCTGCTGCGTGCCTCGCTGCATACGCGATACGCGCGGCGCCGCGCCGCGCCGCGCCGCTCTGCTCCGCTCCGCTCCGCGCCGACGCGCGCCCGTGCTCCGTGCCCCGTGCCCCATTGGACTCGCGTCGTTGCTCCACGCCGTGAAGCACGTAGAGACCACGCGTCAGAAACGCGGCGGATGATCGCGAACCGAGGATTAGAACTCGACTAATCTAATCATCCTAATCTTAATCCGTTTTCATCCGGTTGATCGAATTCCAATCTCCAATTTGCGATTCTCGACCGTCCACGCGTAATCCAATACGGGCTTAACGGTGGTTAACGGATAAACGGATTTGTCCGCGGCAAGGAGAGGAGAGGCGATATTTTTTTTCCTGTCCTCTTGTCGCGCGTTGTCTGGAGACACGCCGTCAGAATATAGAGTCGTAGAAACAAAATCTCTCCCGAGTTTTAATACGTTTATTTCGTTTAAAATGCAGAAAGTGTAGCTGCAAAATACAGTTAAAAAACAAAGCCACGGGGAATGAAGGAATATAAAGTTAATATATAGATAATAAAGAAAAATCAAAAAGACTAACTAAACTAAAAAAAAAACATCTCTACTTTTGTCTTTTGATTTTTTAAATTAATGTTAGAATTTCGACCTTGAGTAGAAATAAAAAAAATTTAAGTTTTTTCCAGTTTAGTTCGTCTCTTGTTAGTTTAGTTTTTTTTTTATTGTGACCTCACGTAGAAATAAAAAAAATTTCTTTACAAGGAAAACATTTGTTCTTTTATAAGAAACATTTAGATATTTTTCATATGTCCGTGCATTTGTTCCTACTAGCTGTATTCCGGTCGTTCTTTTCGCGCGAATTCGATCTCCTTCTAGAAGACGAAACAAACCCTCGATTCCACCACGTGCGCGTTGAGCGTCCTTCGCCTTACATGACTTTCCCTTTTAAGTAAATCCGAAACCTTTAGCCATCGTGGAAACTTACAACTCCGTTACTTGTCAAAACAACAAAGAAGCAGGCATTTCCGATGAAGGAATAAAGGAAAAGCGGGATGGAACTTAAGTTTCTTCCTTCTACCTGACTTGGAGTTTTACCCAAGTGGATTTGTCCCTTTAGCTCTTTTCCGGCCGTTTTTTTTTCGCGCGCATTCAATTTCCTTTTGGAAGAAGAAACAAATACTCCTTTTTCGCATGCACGTCGTTTGAGCGTCCTTCGTCTCGCATGACTTTCGCTTTTAAGTGAATCCGAAATCTTTAACCATTGTATAAGGATTCTAAAAGATTCGTGGAAACTTACATCCGTCACTTGTCGAAACAACAAAGGAGCGCAGGCATTTCTGCGGAAGGAATAAAGGAAATGGAACTTAAGTTTCTTCCTTCTACCTGACTTGAAGTTTCACCTCCGGTCGAAATTCCAATGGTGGAAAAGACAAGAGAGACCATCCGTTTCTAGATTTTTCTGCCTGCCTGCCTGCATTTTTTTGCACGTCTTCGCTCACCATAAATTTTACTTTTTCGATACTTCGACTGCCAGCGTGGTCATCCATAACTAGCATTGTCGTAGTCTTTTAAGACGCTTGTAAAAAATGAACACCATATATTGTTATTGTAGTTCTTCATTATTCATATATTGTTAACTCTATATCACTTGAAATTCCGTAGAATTTTTGAATTTTAAGCGATACAAATATTTAACAATATAAAGACAAATAGATAACACAAGGGAAAAAATGCGCTATTTAACGTTCATAAGAATACAGTCTTATTTAACCATATTTTATTGTATACTTACGATAATGAAAATTCCACTGTGACGCACACGACAAGACATACAAAACTTGCTGGCCAGGCAACGTGTTAACTATATTTTGTGGTTACACTTTCTGCGTTTAAAACGATATGAACGAAGATAAATTAGAAAAGTATATATTTTTTATATCAAAAGTTAAAATCATGAAAGACATTAATATATCACATTCTGTAATTTCACATTAATTTCAATTGTGAGAGAAAAAAAGAGAAATCAAAATTTGTAAATTCTAATTGGAAAGAACAAATTTACAACTTGTAACTTTAGTAAATGTATTGCGAGATACGCAAACAGAAAAATACAATATTTATTCTTTTCATATATATTTAAGGGGTTTATAGAAAATCATAGAAAATCATTATCACTGTGCAATTACTCATTGCGCATTGTGCTTGAGTGATGAGCGAGTTACTTTTTGTACATTTTCAAAAATTATCCGGAATAAAGACAGGTTCTCGCCTCAGTACTGTAATATAGGTAATCCTCCGCGTGGATCTACGAGCCAAAGTCAAACATCTACTCTAACTATAAAACTGCCAAGCAAAATAAAAACAATGTTTAAACAATGTTTATGAAAGTCAATGTAGACAGCTGTTGTATGCATTTTTTCAGATTTTTT